ACGGGGGGGGGGGCGGTAGGCGTAAAGTTATGTTTCAAGTTAGCGTTTGAAAACGAAAAGTTTCATCCTACGTTCATACTTTGCATTTATTTTTTCGCCTTTGTCAACTAAGCAGATATTTTTAAGTTTCCGAATATTGTAGGGGGTACATCCCTGGTAGTTTCATATTAACAAGTTTGGTTTTACTTCGTGAGCCTAGCGGTGCTACAGTGATTTTATTTCTTTGTTTAAGTGGCAGTACAATTCCTCAATTATTGAAAAATGTAACAGGCACATGGACTGATTTATCAACAGAAGATTCAACAGAAGTAACAAGATGTACACTGAGAGATTCAGCCATGGGTTTCTGTAATTTTCAAAGAAATCCATGTATAGAAATATTGAGGCATAATCAAAAAATCCAAACATATTGTAACATCAAATATATATCTGAACTCTAAGTCAACTAGTTTACAATACTTTGAACTATAAACTCATCGGACATCGACAAATCGAGAAATTCAGCGCGTTTTTAATACACAAAATTCAACCATTCTTGAGAAAAGTGGCCAACTATTAATTGTTTTATTGAACAGCACAATGGCATCCAAAAACAAATTACATCCGTCTCTCATCGAACATTTGGCAGTATACACATCGATCACCACTGACTTTTAATAGTGAAAAAGAAAATTGTTTCATCGACGTTTAACTCTTCATTGTTAAAGCTCGTTCCTCAGGTCGGGTACTACAATGATCATAATCGATCGTACATGTCCAAAAACGTTAACACATACTACTGTTCTGTACAGTTTGCTACCGTAAATAGGCGTAAATGACTGATAAAGACACTCAAATGGTCGAAAATTTGACTATCTGATCGTTTATGATACGCTGAAAAACGACGGTAATACGGACGCATACTAAACTGAGAAGAAATTAATTCAGACCGTCGCTTACGATTGTGCCCTTTTCGCCTGGCTCAATAAAGCGAGATTAAAGCAATAAGAATTTTCAGTAAATAATAACGATTTGAATAGTATCGTATTTGATGTTGAAAACTTATTGGATATATCGTTGGATGCACAGAAATGTCAAAATGTTAAACAATAACTGTATAATAATCCAGTTGTATCTTGTGCACCATTACTACAGTCACAAAGAATCTAAC